ATCCTGTTAACCACCTTCACACAACTGCCACAGATATCCAGAACCACAGGCAGATTTTATATTATTAACAGTACACATTGAAGCATAATGAAAAAAAGGATTCAGCATTGAAAAGTAAGAGAATACAGTTAAAAAATCTTAAATATTGAATGGGAATGTTTTGTTACAGGCACATAAACCTTCTCTTGGATGGTACAACACCTGTTAAACACACTTCAAAAAGTAAAGATAAAGGCTGCACTATTTTCTGTCTGCTAAGAGTTTTAAACAATATATTATGTTGCAAATGGATTGTTTGCAAACTTGGAAAAACAAACAGTCACCATGGCCAATGGCCCTTTATAAAGATATGATCTATACACTGAATGGGTCCCAGTTCTTTTACAGCTCATAGACTGGCAGGCTACTTGACACTGTACTAACTCTAATGTTTACACTGAAACATCTTTAAGTTATCCGTTATAAAAATGCAGTGGCTGCTTTCATGGAGTACATACTGGTCTGTAACAAAAATTAGAAGAAATCTTGCTTTCTAAATGAGGAACTGCTAATGTCATTCTTAATTGACAAAGGATAACTGAACGCTTTAATTTGCAAAACTTTAAACCTGAACTGAACATCTAGCTGAAACAGACAATTTATGAAGCTTTTGAAGCGATGGCTCCTGCCTCAGCTCTTTACACCAGGGACATTAAGTCTATTCTCCTGTAATTACCCTGAAATTGTATGTAGTCAATTGCACAAGCAAAATCACATTTCCCCTCTGAACCTTGGCTTGCAAAACTCTTCACATTTAAGAGACATGCCTCAGCGTATTAATTTAATTTCTCAGACTAGGAGAGAAAGCAGGATGAAAAATCATAGCATCACAGAATTGTCAGAGTCGGAAGGGACCTCTAGAGATCACCTAGTCCAACTCTTGCACTAAAGCAGAGATTTTGTAAAGATAAATCACATAATCAATTATTTTTATTTTTTTTTTCAGCTAGTTTAAGAAAAAACAGAAACAGAGGCAGAGAATTAAATATAGAGGCTGGAAAAGTGAACATGCAGACTTGATACGATAATTTCATATATGTATTACTTCACAGCCTTCCTTTCACATTTGCACTTCCCATTTTTCAGTGTTTGTATTTGGAATTTTAATTTTTTTTTGGACTGACAAGTCATTCTGAATGCAAGCAAGACAACTGCAAGACCAGGGCAACATTTTCCAAGATTTAAACCACTTTCACCTTATTTAATTTAGTTGTACATCTTCCCATATGCCCAGCTTTGTTGTGAAAGCATTCCTTTTCATCCACTCATTTTATATTATGGTGATAATTATTTTCCAGGCATATATACTTCCATACCGTGCATCAGTTTTTGTTTAAAATTCTTAAACGTTGTTTCTCAAAATTCTTATATAGAAATTATGCAATAAAAATGTAAAGATCTGCTTGCTTTTTAAATTTCTGTTCCTATTAATTTCCCATAGAAATCATACTACTCATCATTATTTTAACTGTCCAGTGAAAAGTAATACATTTATGTTGAATCCTTAACTCTCTACTGAGATGCAATCTTAGGGTGCTCAGTGCCTTCTTGGAAAGATGCAACACACACTGTGAGAATAGAGAGACTTCAGCAGAGTCATCCTCATACCTCTACATATGTAGTAAATTATGGTTCAAAGAACTGGACCAAGCTAAGATAATATTAATATTGTATTTGTCAACTCAATTTTGCAGAGCTCTTGTCTTTCATCTTCTTCTGAATACCATCACTGATAAACACAGTTCAAATTTTCCTATTTATCATTACTAGTAATTTATTTTTTCATTTTTTTTTCAGAAAAGCCTGTATATTTTTGTGTTGAAAAAAAGGTAATTGGTGGTACTAGAATAAGCATAATATGAGTAACTACTTATGAAAGTGTTTTAAGGTTAAATTTTATGATGGATCAAAATTTATTAGAATATTGTAAGTTTACATAATTTTTTTCTCTGAAACAATGAAGAGAAATTTTTAATATTTATTATTTTATTTTCAACTTATGAAAAACTTAATTTTAAAAAATTTTTATTCTGAATCCTTCTTTAAGTGCAGAACAGTCCAATATCTGAGCAAGGTGTTTGGCAACATAGCTTAAACTGAGAAATGTTCTGAACACTGCAGCAAAGTGATGATTCACATAAGTAAAGCCAATGAACGCTGTTTTGAATTAAATATCTAATCTGTACCGCAAAATAGACCATTCTCACCAAATTTAACAGTTTGTTAGAATTACCTTGGAAGAAGACATGAAACAAATACATTTCTATGCATAACCAATACCCTGAGAAAAAATGGTTAGGGAACGGAGAAAACAGAGAAAATATACCCTATATGTGTCTCTGTAGTTCTGCCTTCACCACTGAACACACATCTAGCTGCAAAGATATCATCATAGCCAACATCTACAGGATGTTCTACTGGATAGAATGCCTGAAAGAGAGGATGATTCACAAAAATTAATGAAAGTATCTTGCATTATTTAAGTCAATATACACACACACAAGAACAGGACCTGAAAAGTAATTTCAGAACAGTTTTTGCATCATAATGTAATCAAGACAATACCTGGCAGTATTCACTTCCCATTCACTTGGCACATCAACACGTGCCAGTGGAAACACCATGACGCAAATCTCTGGGTACGTGACTGCCAATTCGGCTTCTCAGTTTTAACTACAGATTATTAAAAATTGAAGTTAGAATTAAAAAAACAACCAACCTGTGGTAGTTGTGGACTCTGTCTACCAATCAGCGTCCATTGACCATTTCTCACTCTGTATCCAGTCACTACTTTACCTGCAACATACCATTATGTATGTGAACATGAGATACACTTCTAAAAAATAGCTGTCAACATATTGTTATATATTGAATATTCTTATATTGCAATTAAACCCTTACCTAGTCTGTGCGTATGAACTCTGTAGGCAAAAAGGTGCATTGGAAACCTTTTGTAGCGGCAGGCAATGTCTGCATTAACCACTGTTAAAACATGATGGCAATAAACAAAGAAAAACACATTATTTATCTAACAGTGAAAAGTTACACTACTGTGCTTCATTCAGTTTGAAGGCAGTTTACAAAAGGTATACCAACACTCAATAACAGACAATTTCAAAAGACACTAGATAGTATCTTACAGATTTGAAGTACCTATCTCAAGACATTCCTTTCTGTGATGATGTACCCAGAAAGTGGGGCTCAGTAGCATTTCTTCCAGCATACACTACTGCTATTTAATGAAGTAAAATAATACATTTGCTAATAGACTGTTGAGGGACACTTAAAATCAACATAGCTATGGTAAATAGTTAATCAGGAGAAAATTAAAATAAAATTATATAATTCTAAACTGATATCATTTATAATGAAGGCTTGATTTTAAGATCTTACAGCTCTAGGCCCAGTCTTAAAGACTTAGGGTTAGATGCAGACTCTGGCAGAGAAGTGCTGTACAGACAATGTGCGCAGACTAGTGCTTGTATTAGGTGCAGTAACAGTAACTAATGAAGAGCCTACCAAGACATTCCTCTGCAGATGCCTCTACTGAGAGGTATATTGGGACATGCTGCATTTTTCCTCTTAAAAAAACTTTCATGCTTCACTTAAAAACTGCAAGTTTGATCGAACATGAGAAGACAGTCAGTGACAGGCACAGAACTGTTTTCATTCCTCTTACCCTTACTCCTCCAGGTGAAAAAGTAGACTTCTGCACTGATGAAACATTTCAGTGTGGAGGGGGGGATCAGTTTGAAATGTTTTCATATTGATGAGTAAAATATGTTGTTTCAATTTAAATTTAAAAATATTTTAAGTTGCTGAATTCACCTAACAGAATCATTTAAGCATTTGACCACCACAGCCTGCTAACTGTAAGTGGGAAAAACGGTGTTCAGGGATATTTAATTTAAAATTCTGGTTTAGCAAAAGAAAATTTAAGGTCAGTGTTCAACTCCTGAAAACAGAATATTCCATGCTAGCTCAAAAAAATTATATTGGGACTATCCAAGCTGAGTTTCAGACAAAATCCCCTGTGCAGGATTCTGAATAGAAATTGTTCATTCTTTTACAATGGTTTCCAGCTTTTTGATGTTTCAACCAAGTTGAAACATTGGAATAAAATTTTTGAAGAGCAGCTCCTTACTAGTAGAAATTAATTTATTTAAACTGAACTGTTTGTAAATCACAAATAGCATGAATAACAAAGGCAGATGAAGAAGAGTCCAAAAATCTTGTGGTTTTTTTTGCAGGGAGGGAAGAATAAGGAAATAGGTAGGGTTTTTTTTGTAAAATATTAAGACTAAAATAGATCAAAGAAATACTCTTGGGAATCCTAGAAGCTTCAGTATTGCAAAGATCATTATTGTTTTGTACAACACTATTTTCTACAACATTGATCACCTTTATAGATGAAGTCATGGGGAAATATTACATAATTTTAAATTCATAAGTAATATTTTTCATCATCTGTTTAATTAAGCAATTCATTTGTCCATCTATAATTCAGCAAATCTCTGTAAAATTTTCTTCTGCAATGAGCAGCAAACTTAATCTGATGCTGAAATTATATAGTCACTTTGTAGAATCAGTACTCACCTTTCTCGCCTGGTGGTATTACAGTGTTCACAGACATCATGAGATACATTCCAGCAATCAAAGGCTGCCTGCAATTCAAAACCCAAGCTTTGCTAAACAAGTCCTTTATAAAACCCAACTGCAAGTGACACAATATGCCATACCACTTAACATCACTAAATGTTGGATTATGTCTGAAACTGGTCTACTGAGAAAGAAACTGTTACACAGCACTTCCCCTTCCCTCCTTTATTCACACTGTGCTTGAATTTTCAAAGCACCTTCTACAAAGTATTTGGAGTTTAACAAAATTATTATTTACATAATTACACAATTAGGTGGGGATCGCTCTCTCAAACATGAGTGTTTGTCTGGAAAAAAGCTGAATGAGCCCAAGCTCTGGTGGAAATAAGGATAACATAAAAGCAGGATGCAGGAAGTGTGGCTACCATCTTAGCCGTAGTAGCAGTGAAGACAGTGAGGAAGCAGAACTAGAAACTGCAAGCCATGAGTGAAAAAAAGAATTCAAATGAGGAGAAAAAAACAAACACAAGAAACAAAAAAGAAAAAGCAAAGAAAAAAACAAAATTAAAGAGACCCAGGAAAAGGTCTTCCTCATCAAGTGCAGCTGAAGAGAATAGGTCAAAGTCAAAAAATTGGTTGGAATCTTTTACACTAGTAAAACAAGTAAAGTTCAGTTTTCAAGTCTTCAAGTCTTTGTGTAGAAAGATTTAGACTTAAATATGCCATGTCATATTAGTTAAATTTGGAAATTCAGGTGAGATTTTTCTATTATGTTATCCTTTCAACAAATGTATGAGCAATTAAAAAGAAGGCAAATGGCATTCTGGCCTGTATCAGAAATAGTGTGACCAGCAGAACCAAGGAGGTGATCGTGCCCATACTCTGATCCTCAGTGAGGCTGCTCCTCGAGCACTGTGTGCAGTTTTGGGCACTGCAGTGTAGGCAGGACATTGAGGTGCTGGAGAGGGTGCAGAGCAACTTAGGCTGATTAGTGGTCTGGAGAACAGATCTTATGAGGAGATGCTGAGGGAGCTGTGGCTGTTCAGCCTGGAGAAGAGGAGGCTGAGGGGAGACCTCATTGCTCTCAACAACTATCTGAAAGGAGGTTCGAGTGAGGCAGGTGTTGGCCACTTCTCCCTTGTGACTAGCAATTGGACAAGAGAATATTGGGTCAAGCTGTGCCAGGGGAGGTTCAGATTGGATATTAGGAAACATTTTTTCACAGAATGACTCATGAGGCATTGGAACAGGCTGCCCAGGGAGGTGGTGGAGTCACCATCCCTGGAGGTGTTAAAAAATGGGTAGACGTGGCACTTTGGGAGAGAGTTCAGTGGTCACAGGAGTGTAAAGCTGATGACTGGACTTGATGATCTAGCAGGTCTTTTCCAACCTTAATGATTCTATGATTCTAACAGGTAAGTAGTTTTAAAGATACTTACTTTTGATGTGTGAGATGTAAAGTTACACCAGAGCAGTCCTTGTGTTTATCTGTACAAATCACAAAACAACTATAACTAGCAACTGAACTCATGTGAAATTATTCCATATTAGTAACACCCTTCTGCTGTATAAAAAGTAATGGAAGAGATAATGGAAGTTTTAATCTTATTTTTTGCAGTAAAACTTTCATACTGTGGCCACTTTATTCAAATTTGCACAAACCTGAACATCACAGTGCTGCATTTCTAGCAAAATTCTAATACAGATAAAAACTCTGGTGAATTGAAACCTAGCTGCTTTTTTGGCACTAGAAATTGTAGATCTTTATGAAATAGCACCTGAGAGATGAAACAATGTAATTTTTACAACAGCAGAATAAGTTGGTTTGCTTCAAACAAATTTGTATTTTGAAAGTTAGAAAAATGAAAAATTTGTGGAGAAGCAGTTATTGTAGCAATTAAAAATGAAGCAACCAGAAACCTTTTTAATACAGTCAACAGAAGAACTTAAGATATCAATGCAAAGGTCCTGTTTAACAATGGATATCCTAGAAAGACAGTAAAAATAGTTAATTAATTTGTTAATGTACTGTGTCACCATTACATAACCTGTTGGACATTTTAATTTAAAAATACCATTGTCCTGATAATTACTCAGTTTTAGTTGGTGATCTGAAAGTTCAATTTTTGTTCTTTTTCAATTAAGTTTCCTTTTCTTATGTTTATACCAAAACCAGCCATAGTTAGAAGATGGATATACCTCCAAAGCAAGTAAACAGAAAATGCTGAAAAAACACTCTCTAACAGTATACACTTCAGGTAAGAAAGAGAACAGAATAGCTAGGGAACTGCTCACAGGTGGCAACTTGGGGAGAGATTTTCCTCTCATCAGTAGCTGATGAAACTGAAAAAAGCAGTGTGTTCGAACAGAAGAAAGGACAATGACTAGAGTAGGAGAGAAAGCAGACTATACAGATTAAAAAGTATCAGTTTAGTTTTTCATACATTAGCTACTTTAATCACATTTCATTATTAAGGGATAATACTCAGTTTGATTTTTACCACTATCATTACTAGATCTTACTTTCAGTATTCACAAAGTAAGCAGTTATTATTTTTACAAAATGCACAAATCAGTTCATATGTTACGGAAGTGAAAAAGTCACTAATCCAATTTCACTAGGTTCTCATAAGGCTCATCATCATGTCATCTAAGAATTCTTAGTTTCTCTAACTCTGTGTGTCCCAACAAACGCTTCTGTATTTAAAAATCTGAATCAGTACATCACAGTTTTACCTTTACAAATAACAACAAAAAAGTAAACTCTTTGCTGTACACAGAAAAATTAGAACAGTAGCTCATTCATCAAGACTACCCACTGCTGTAGTTGCACTGAATGCTTGCCAAGCATTTTGAGACCAAGTATGATGAACATGTGAAAATTCAACTGATAATCTTAAAAAAACCCCACACACATTCAATGCATATGGAATTTCCGACTGTCTGTGTTAAGCTACATGTGGTATTGCCTCAAACACAAGGAGTTTGGTACCTATATTCTGTATAATGTACTGATTATGGCCTTGGCAGAGTGCTGACAAAGTTCACTTCCAATTAGAGTACAAGTATTTTAAGACTATGCACATGTACGCAAAAATGCAAAACTGGTCAACCAGTTACTTCCACTAAGTCACTTACATTTTGTCTGTACTACAAAACAGCCAAACAAACAATATATTCTAGAAAATAAGAGATAGTCAATATAATTACAGACATTCTTCTATACCATTTTTATGCAAACATACATGCTTGTACAGAAAAATAACATACACCGAAAAATTCACTTGAACTTTAGGATAAAAGTTCTCCAATTTAAAATACAGTCTTTCAAACACATTTAAAACATGGTCTGACTGTTGTGGTTTTTTTTAAAGTAACATCTTAAAAATTTAAAGCAAAAAAACAAAACAAAAAAATAATTAAAAAAAACCCCAAACAAAAATACCCAACATCAATACATTCACCTCATTTGCAGGGAGTGGCTGAGGGAGAGCTAAAGAAAGAGGAGAAAAGATTAAAGGAGAGAGAAAGGACAGGACAAATTGAAGAAGAGTAAGTGGGAGTAGATAAAGGAAAAATGACAAAGTCAAGATGCAGTTAGTGCTGGCCAAGATGGAAAGAAAAACTGAACTTATGCCATGCCTGAAAAAGCACTAGTTTTCAATCACAGACAACAAATGTTGATTCCAAACAGCCTAGTCATGAATCCAAAAGAACCAGGAGGACTACGCTATTAGGGCAAAAGGAAAACAGTAGGAAAACTCTGTTTTGTATTACAACAGTATGTGCTTACATACAAACTAATAAATACAAAAATAAAAATTTGACAACTGACAGTTATCAACAGACATCTTACTCCTGAAAAAAAACGCCCTTTAAGTAATTCCTGAACTTCAGAAATACCTGTAAAAATAGCTGAGAATTCTTCTTTCTTTTCCTTTTCTTTTCTTTTTTTTTTTTTTAATATCAAAAGACACTGTCTCCACTACTTTCTACTTTTTCCAAGCACAGATTGACTGGCCAGTGTATGCAATCTTTCTCACCAGCTATTCAAGTAAGGTTACAGGTTAAGGATATTAACAAGTATTTGTTTCAACTTCCTTAAAAAAGTACTGAATTATACAGGGAAAAATAAGTTTCTACCTACACTTAAAATTACTAACCTGCTTCTTCATTACTGTAAGTAATTTGCTCTACATTTTTTGAAGAAAAGAAGCTGTCCACCTTTCAAGCATATATATATAGCAAGTTTAGAAAGAAGTTAATACACGCAGTTTATTATAAATGTGCTCACTGATCTTCACCTCTCTGAGTGGCACTGTCAGCAAAAATAATTTCCAAGGGTAATATAAATGATGCTGTAACTGATATAACTTACAAAACAAATTTCCAAAATACATACCTCTAAATGCACTAATATCCCCATAGTGTACCTGGAGCACAAAAAATCTGCCACCTGCTTCTCCTCCAACTCTGAATCCGACACCTGAGAGAAGGAAAATGCACTGGTTTCAGAAACAATAAATTGCAAGATACCTGACCATGTCTAAAAGTACAAATCACTATAATGGTTTAGAGTGAAGGAGTAGAAAACTTCGCCAAGACACCAGTGAAAAAGACCAGTGAAAAAGACAGTATCCTGAAAACTGGAAAGAACATGTCACAAGACATGTTCCCCAAAAGACTAAGAATCTTAGCCATTAATTAGTAGATATCTGCTTTAAGAGGAGAATTCTCTCAATCCAAGAATATTAATACAGATTTGATGTATATATACACAACTATATATCAAAAAGAAAATAAAAAACAACAAGATTTGCCATCCTCGTAGGATTTGGTAGAACTTTCATTTTTCATGCAACCTGTAAACGGTACAAACTGACAAATACTGACTTACTAAGAATAACTGCAGTGAAATGTTTGGAGATGCAAATTAATATTTAATGTGAAAAAAATCTTGGGGGAATTACAAAGTTATGCTATTTTTTGAAAGAAGCAAGCACTGGCACAGAAAAAATGGCGGAATTCGAAATAATGAAATTACAAAATACTACCATCAGGGATTGCTCTAAACCAATTCTACAATGAAGTCTCTTCAAACTGAGCAGAGAAAGCAATTTCTTCCAATTCAGTCAGTAAATCCCACTGGATTAAACACTGCCCATGGCAAAGCTTACTTATAAATTGGACTGCAGCCTCTCTGTGCACAAATATAATATCATTACAAACCCCTCTACAAATATTTATGGATTGCTTAGAGACAAGAAAATATTACTAGCTGTGGTTTAACAGTGAAGCAAATACTAGGCTTCCACAGAAGCCTCCAACCAACATTTTTGTAGCTTGACATTCTGATAACCAAATCAAATAACATTCATGCTTGCAAGTGTGTAATTGGATTGTTAAAAAGAACCTCTTCATGATACTCTGCACCGCTCCTGGTTAGGAAAGAAGGCAATGACAGATAAATAAAAAAATCTTTAGAATTCAAAATATTTTCAAACGGAGGCTATACAGACAGCATGCATTTATAGGACCCTGAATGGTTATTAGAAAGCACCACTTCTCACTGTCTTCCAGACATATCACTCCAAGCACCTTAAAATATTTTGATTGAATTCAGCAAAGTCATCTATCATACAAGAAAATTTGTATGTGTCAAAGCATCAAGAAATGAAAACAGATAAAATTGTCAAATACATTAAGACAAA